TACAGGAACCCAGGGCCATCCAAGACACTTGCTAAAATTAATATGCTACAAATGTATTTGCATTCACAGCTGAACAATTTGGATTTTAGTTCAGTCACCTCCCGGCACATTTTTTTGATAAACTCATGGCATTGGATAAAACAGATTCATTAGCTTTGATTAACCTTCTTTAACTAGAGTTAAAAACCTGCAGTAGGCAGCTCAGCTACCAATGCGGCTTTAAGATACTTTATCATGTTTAAGACCCAATTACTGTTGCACTGAATAAGAATAAAACATCACAATAAAATGTGGAACAAACAGCCACTCTAACGTGCATGGCAAATAATCATTAATTTATAACAGCAACTTTCCCATTTCTCTGGGCTTTTTTGATGGCTGCATTTAATTCAAGTTGAATACTCTGGAATCTGATGCTGGTATGAGAAACTAGTTGCCCTGCCTCATTGACTGTTGCCTTTTCTTTTTTCTTTTTTGTCTTATACCTTTAGTTTGGAGCTTCAGAAGTCTCCTTTAAAAAGTTGAAAATCAAATAGACAGAAAAGAGGAGCTAAAGTTCAAACAGATTCTGCAGAACTAGGTCTCTGTGGGAGAGAGAGAAGATTAAAATGTGATGGAACTTTAGGATTTTAGCACAATTTGTCAATAATTGGAAACATTTCTAGCAAGAAAATTTAAATATTAAAGAAACACAGGCCAGGAAAATCACCATTGAGTTCATTCAAAGAGTTATCTATATGTGATCTGCAAACTTTTGAAAAGAGCTCCAGTAAGGTCCATTTTATGCATCTAGCAGAGAAATCGAGCTGGAGAATCTCGCCAGCATCCAAGGAGTTAATTTTGGACAGGATTTGACTGAACCAGGAATAATGAACAGTGAGATACTGCAGCTTTCAGGCAAAACAGAGTAACAACAATTAAAAAAGAGAGAGAGGGAATAAAGGGGGAAAACAATGTCCAGGCAGTTAACTAACAAGAGCAACCCAGTGTTTGAAACAGATAAAACAGAGGCCACCAGGAACGCGGCTGTCATTGCTTCTTGCTCTGTTCCTGGGTGTGGAAAGCATTACAACATTTGTGAACCAACTGTTTGCGGGTTTCTTCTCATCTGCTTTAAAATATTTGGTTTTGCCGTATTTCCATAATAACCACAACCACACTCTCCCCTCCGAAAACCCCCCACAACAACAGATGTGTGTTCTAAAAGGAAATGGAGACACTGATATAATCAGACACTAGTTAGAGAGCTTTCATACTAAATTCTGCAGCAAATTCACAACAACAAAAAACTCTCGACCACTGATGGAATTAATCTAAGATCCTTGATTATTTGAAGTTCTAAAAGTTTTCATTTTGCATTTTGTTTTTGAATGTATAGTGCTTTATTTATCAAACTGCGGCGTAATTTTCCCTTCAGTTTGAGGCTGTGATTGTGAAACAAATAAATTGAAACTTAAGGACCCGTTCTCTCCAAATTTAGTTCCATTATCACTTTAAGAATGCACACGACTTGATGATACAAAAAGGGTGTACGTAGCTGGTTATTTAGTTGCTGGCTCAGCAATATGTTGATTAACACAACACTTCCCAAACTCCTTTTTGGGTCGTTTTATTGTTGGGCGTGTGTGTGTGTGTGTGTGTGTGTGTGTGTGTGTCTTAATATCATATATTATCTGGCAGCATTATAGCTTCCAAATATTTAAGATTTTCTATTTTAAAGGGAGGAGATACGAATAAAGTTTTGCAGAGACTAAATTAAAAATAAAATGTTTTAAATAAATACATATTTTAAAATAAGTTGGAATGGGGATAGTAATAATTTTCAAAATAGCGTATTTTATCATTAATACACCTCTATCATAGCTATGGCTTTCTAATATGTATCAATGTGCACTTAAAGTATCTTATGTGTCACACACAATACCAGATATTCTAGAGCACAAAAGAACATCAAATACATTTGACTGTTTTCAGCAGTAAATAAGTTTCGTCTTTTACAAAGTCATTTTGGCCATCGTGCTGTAGCCTCTAACTGTGTTTGACTTGGAATAGTTTATTTAATCTTCTTCCTCTGAGCCTACTCTTAGAATATGTCCAAATAACTAAACTTTAGTTGGAGGAGGAAAGTACAATTGAGTTTTTTTTTTAAAAAAAAATACTTATGATGAGGATCCCTTTGGCTTCCTGCCTCTGTATCTTTCTAACCTTAGAAGCTAGAACCACTTAACCCCAACCTACAGGTCCAGCCCCGAAATGACTCTGGAAATCATCCTGACCCTGGGCAGGGGGAATTCAGGGAGCTGTAGACCAGCAGTTCGTCAGCCCAGCTTGAAGTCCCCTTGGCTGCTGGACAAATTCTGTTCCCCATTTCTAGAGGCCAGGCTCCAGGCTTATTACACAGGACAAACCTTTAACTCTTAGCCTAGATTAATATGCTTCCTCCTGCCCGTGAGCCCAAATACAACTCATTGCATTGCTTTCCTAAATGGCACCCTTGTTCTAAGCACCTTAGAACAGGTTTTCCTAGAGTCTGGCATTCTCTCCTGTAATTTGGTGCTCAAGACTAGAGTTCTGTGGGCTCTGCGATACTTACACATGCTCTTTGCTCCGCATCTTATACCTCTCCCCGCCTGTTGCTAGACATCCTTGAAGCTCTACTTTGCCTTCCTCCTTCAATATCTACCAGTCAACTACTCTTGGACCTCTCTAAAGGTCTGAACTTCTAAAGATTAGCCCCCTCCTAGAGCAGTCTTTGGTGCTCTGTCAAAACTTCAGATTTTGGCCAATTCTGCTTTGACTGGTCTCTCTCATAACTTTTTGAACTGAGGGGATATCCTATCATAGGGTGTGAGGAAAGATAAAAAGACAGCAGAAGGAATCTTCAAAGTCTTCTTACACATATCCCTTGCCCTAATTACCTTCTAATATCTCCTAGATTCTTGATTCCTTTGTAATTATTCAGGCTCCACTTTGAACACTAGGCATTGTGTTCACCAAAACTATGGGAATTTTGTCTTCAGTATTCCAGTATAATACCCATGCCAAACCCTAAGAAAAATTTTATTATCTGTGGACCCAACAAGGAGTATCAATGAACTTTATACAAATTCGGTAGCCATTCGCGGCGGTCAGCGAGAGAGGTTGGCAAGCTGGCTAACTGCAAAAGGAGGTAGCCAGGTGAGAGTTATCAAGGAGTGGGGAAGAGCCTTTCCTTGAGACTCCTTTGTATAATCAAAGAGATGAGACTCACAGCATGTGCCCTAGGAAGCAGGCCACTCCAGGTTCCCAATCTGTTACCTCTTCATTCCTAGTGTGGAACAGACCTTGAAGCTTAGGTAACAAGTGATTACCTTATAAAACCCATTTAGACGGTATCAGTTTCCACCTGCCAGAACTCTGCTCATAATTGCCCTTTGACACGAATCTAGGCGGCATCTTGGATAACGGACAGCTGAATAACAATAGGAAAGGTGATTTGAATACCAGCCAGCCCCTTGCAAATGTCCATCTTAGCACTTTTAAATCAGTGGTTCTCAAGCACTTGGGAAATTTAAAAACAAAAGCAAAGACATCCCAAACTCCCCAAAACTTGGATGCCCAAGTTCTACTCACTAAAGGGTTGGGTTCAATTAGTCTGGGATGGGGGTTCAATCCGTCTAGGATGGGGGTGGACATGACAACTTGATATGAAGAGGTTCAAGAATTATTTATATTCCCACAAGGTTAAGAACACGACTTTACATCTTCAGACAGCCGAATACCAGCACAGCCATTGCGCTGCTGAGCAATGTGAAACCCATAAAGGGTGATCTACTTTCATCACCACCCAAACTCAGTTTTCTGTGCTTCTAAGGCCAGCATTTTCTTCTCCAGTCCGCTGACACATGATATCATAGTCTTGCCTACCTACACACACCCTTCTCTAAGAAACTATGCTATATAATTAAGGCACGAATACAACTGTGTGGGCCTTCAAGGCAAAGTACCCCTTTCTTAAGTCCCAACTAACCCTTACCTAACAACCTTGTTGATTTATCCAACCTGGCTCTTTCTTTCCTGACCACCAGAACCTGACTTGTTCATGAAGAAAGCGCTGAAACCCATCCTATCCCTCTCCTGTTCCTGAACTGTCCGCTTCTATTCCTTCAGAAGCTGCTGGAACATTCTGCTGTTGATACTGCTAGTTATTGGTCCCAGACTTAGAGTTTAAGAAAAACCTTCAGTTAGCTTGGATCTCCAGAAACTGCTTCCCGTGCCAGAATCCTCATATTTTCTTTCCCAATTACAACACCCCCTGGGAAAGGAACTAGCTTTTCCTTCTTCCCTGCTACCAGATTCAGCCCCAGTCTGTTGGAACCTTAACTTCTAGGTCCTGGAAAGCCAGGAAGCCAGTAAAAGGCTTATTATTCATTAGTAAGCCTGAGAGATGGAAGCGAAATCCCCCAAGAACTAACAAATTTTTCACTAGTTGGCTCTTTACCGCCTCGCCCCACACCATTCTCTGTTGAGAAGGAGAGTCAGCATCCTGCTGTTGGCTCATTGAGTCTGTAGGTCTGTAAGAACCAGGGAGTTCTCAGAATTCACGGCCTCTGAGAGTATCTATACTGACATGGCCCTTTGAGGTTTAGATAACACTTTTACTTGCATTATCTCATTTAATCTTCATGGGAAAGTGGCTGACTCATCTATATAAAAGTAAAGCGAGTGACAGCACTAAACTACACAGCGCTGTTGAGGAGATGAAATAAAGTGACAGTGATGTACCACGCTCATCCTCCATAGATATCTCCTTCATTCCTCCCTAGAATGTGTCTAGTGCATATACAATGCCAATCTGTACAAGGTAGTTACCATATTATTTTTTCCCTCTCCTGGTATAAGCAGTGCACAAAGCAGGACGATTGGCTAGGTGACTCATAAGTCCTCTCCTTTACTGTTTACTTTACTGTTTATGTTTTAGATAAATGATAGTAAAAATGAATCAGATAATAAATTCGTACCTCAATAATCCCATCGCCACCACTGATCGTCATCACTGGAGCCTGCATTCCGAGGAAGTGGTAGACAGATAGTTGAGGCGGTGCTGGCTTATGCTATGAAGAAACGTCAAGGTTTTAAAAAGTCAACTTCTAATAATTGCCCAGTCTCCCATCCCATTCCTCAATTTTTATGAAATGATATTTAACATTTTGACTTTGCTTAAAATAAAGGGTCATTTTTGTTGTTTTTCTTTATTTTTTTTAATGTCTAGCTTTGATCCAGTCAATAGAAGTCCACCACAAAGCAGATAAAAATAAGTGTCTGAAGGTATGGTATGTTTCTCAGTCTCTTGAAGTAACTTGAATTAGATTCAAGAAGGCAATGTACTCCTTCTTGTTCTGATATAAACCAACAAATAAACAATTTCTAAAAGCCCAGTTCTACAGACACAAGACATCTGGATACTTTAAAAAGGAATCCACATTCTTGGCAATGTGTCCAAACCCAGGATCTAAATCTTCTAAAGTTCACACATCACCATTGTGACTAAACGCTATCCTGTCATGATGTGTCCCCATAATGGCATGTCAACATTGTCTGTTCTGCAGAACATCTTAAAAAGTTGACGACCTAAGGGGAAGTGTAGTTTTATCCCATAAGGCTCTGGAATTTGATCCTATTTGTTCATTATGCACAAAAGGTACTCTATGTAATATGCAGCTCATGATGAGAATGCTTGAAAAGGTCATTGGCTTAGTTCAAATAAACAAAACGCCTTCTCTATAACATTCTGGCATGATAGTCAGAGCTTTAGAGTAGTGACAAGACTGTAGAGTATAAGGGAAAAATCAGAGGCCAGTTCAGTTAGGTTCAGGGTAAGACTATTTTTAGTAGAGTGAAAGATTGCTGGAAAGAAGGGAGTGGTGTGGAAAATAAAAATAAATAAAATCTGGCCACAGTGTCCAAGTTTTCAAATAGGGAGTGAGGAATTATTTTAAATGAGAGGCACCTTTAAGTTAATTATACCCTTTTCAGGTCTAGTTGGTAGAAACCATTGTCATCTGGGGAACTTGGCCCTACTTTTCTCAGTGCAAAGCTTTCTGTCACTTTCCGCTTTATGGTAAAAGAAGAGAGAAGGCTCTTTATACTTTAGAGAAAGTTCCAAAAGCCTCATCCTGAGAAAACAAAAGCAATTGAAATGATGTTTAAGAGATTTTCTCAATTAAAAAGAAGTCCATAAAAAGTCTATTCAATAGATTTGTGTTTTATATATGTTTTTAAATGAAGGACTTACTATCTGCTGGGCTCTTTACATATGCTTTTTCTTTCTTCTTTTTTATTTTTTGGTGAGGAAGGTTGGCCCTGAGCTAACATCTGTTACCAATCTTCCTTTTTTTTGCTTGAGGAAGATTGTCCCTAAGCTAACATCTGTGCCCATCTTCCTCTGTTTTGTATATGGGATGCTGCCACAGCATGGCTTGATGAGCAATGTGTAGATCTGTGCCTAGGGTCTGAACCTGCGAACCCTGGGCTCCCAAAGTGGGGTGCACGAACCTAACCACCACACCACCGGGCTGGCCCTACATATACTTTATATTTAATCCTCACAATAATTTTAAATCTATACTAAATACAGTGTATGCTACAATATTTATTAGAATAACTGAGCTGCAGAGATTAAATAGCTCCCCCAAAGCCTCTGATGGCAAAGTCAGAACTGAGTCCCAAAACAACCTTTTCTCCAAAGCACAGTCTTTTTTTTTTTTGATAGACATAGCATTTTTATTATATATACATGCAAAAGACATACAATTTAAAGAAAAACAATACAGACGCCCATGTACTCACATCCAGAAAACGGCCAAAGCCTTAGAAAAACAGCCCTGCACCTTCCACAGCTGCCACCCTCCCTCCTCTGACTGTCCTACAGATTGACCACATGCACATATATCTCCCTCTACCTTATATGTGGGACGCCTACCACAGCATGGCTTTCGCCAAGTGGTGCCACGTCTGCACCCGCGATCCGAAGTGGCGAACCCTGGGCCACCGAGAAGCAGATCGTGCGAACTTAACCGCTGTGCCCCTGGACTGGCCCCACACTTACCATTAAATAGTGAGTTAAGGACAAAGCACAGTCTTTTGAGTCTCACAACGCTTCTTAGTAATGAATAAAAGCAAGACATGCCGGGATGTCCGCAGAAGAATTTCAGGCCTTGTAACTGACAACTGACTGAATGGTGACGTTAAATTATTCTTCAAGTATGGCTTCACCACGTGCCGAGTTCATGGACTCCGAGAAGAAATCAGGTGCCAAAGGAAATACTGGGCATGTTTGCAGTGGGCTTTAGCTAAAGAGCACCTTGAAAAGCCAATGGCCTTCTTAGGCCTTCTGCTGATTTATGGGGAAGGTCTTGCCTAACGAACTTGTGAAAGTTCCCTGCAGATATTATAGTGTGCACAGGCAGGAAACACACTGCGTTCTCTACCCCATCAAAGCAAAGCATTTTATAAGACTTAATATCAAAGTGCACTGCTTGCAGTAAGAATTCAGGCTGTGATAAGCCTCAGAGACCAAAACAGGGCTCAAAAGGAGGCACAGTGAAATGCCTTCTCCAGCCTGAAACAATCTTCCAGCAGGGCAGCACAGGGACCACTTATGTTTACATTAGTAGTCAATGACTAGTGGATCAAAAATGTCAAAATGAAGATTCCCAGAGTAAGGATAATACCCAGCAGTGACATCAGAAGTCCAAACCTGTCTCTGCTTATGGTCCTGTTGTTGTTGTTGCAAATGGTGTTGCAGGTGTGGAGTGGGTCACGACTTCCACTGAGGGCACGCGGGGTTGCTCAATGTCTGCAGGCATCTAATGGGAGCGAAGAATGGGGGGAAAAGACGCAGCAAACCTCTACAGAGTTCTACTGATGGCAGACCAGACAAAGAAAATCAAGTGAAATGCTAACTTAGGAGTTTAAAAAGAATAAGTGGCGCTTTTCTAACTTATCAATAAGATATGCATAGTAAATGTTGATCTATGTTGTATTAATTGGTCTTAACCAAAGATTTTTCCCACATAATATGTTGGAGAAAAACAAACAAGTAAGCAAACAATAGCCATGAGGATTTAAAAATAAAGAAACAAGCCAGAAACACACACACAACCCCCAAGTAGGCAATACTAAAAGTTTAGGGAAAACATAATTATATTGATGAAAAAAGGGTTAATCCAGAGGCCTACTAGTTTCAGAATGTAAAAATCTCATGTATTGAACAACTTAGAGCTTATTTTCTTTAGCCTTTTCAAATAGTGTCAACTTGAAACATGGTCAGCTGTGTATAAGATACAGATGACATTAACGAGATTATATACACATGTAGTCATACACACACATGTATAGTCATACCCATATATTTACATGTTTATATTGATGATGCAATTAATAAAATGTTGTCATGCCTCTTGACCCAAATGATCCTCTCATAAAACATATGAAGTGCTTATTCTCCAACTTCTCTAGGCAGATTTCAAAAATATCCTGTCTCCAGAATGCTTAGTTTGTACTTCTATTAAAAATCTTACCAGACTCCTAAAATGAATCATATGCATGTGATTCTCCCACTTGGGGAATGCCTAGAGGAGAGAGAGAAACTGTGTGCTCACCATTTTTGTATCCCTGGCTCATGCCTGTTACATAGAGACTCCTGGGTTTCACGAGAGAAATCCCAAGACAGTGAGTTTGTGGTAAGAGAACATGAGGATGTATCTTGGGAATACTGATGTACCCCAAACCTAGCCTGGAATCTGGGAAATGTCATGTAGTCTGCCCCATCTCCAATGCCTTGACTATCACATGCCTCATTTGAGCCCCTGCAAGGTTTGTTGAAGGACTGAATACATAAGGCACTCCATAATGTGGCAACTAGAAAATGGGGGGTGTAAGACTGGAATGGAGGTCTTGGATTTAGGACTTGAACCCAGGTCTGTGTTGTGTTCTCAGTGTTGGGGAATAAATTCTTACCTTTACTTGGTGAAGATTTCCAATCTGCCTCTGATTCTTGAGTACAGGCATTTGAATTGGGGATGGGGTAGCATGGAGGGACACAGAAAAAATTAAACTGTGTGACTTCACCTTGGCACTTGCATTTATCTTCTGCTTTTTGAGGCTGAATTATGTTGCCCAAAAGAAATACGTTAAACTCAATAAGAGTTTATCACTGCTCATATTATGTGCAAGGAAGAGTTGCACTTTGTAGGACCAAAAAAAGTCACTATCACAAACTATTCTGCTTGTTTGCTGGTTGCAGTCAAGGTTATGTCATAGTTTATTCTTGAACTTCTGCTTTAAATAAAACCATAATGTCATGGAAAGTGTAATGAGCTCCAGGGTTGGGAACATGGTTTCAAACTTATGACAAGTGGGAGCCTATATGAGAACATCTTAATATACCTTTTGGAACTGATTAGCCCTCTGTCCTTGAAAGCCTCTTAAATTTTCTTCCTGTGACTTACAAGATCGAAAGTGTTATACTGTACATTTTAGCAATTTCAGTTAATTCATACCAAACCAAAAAGTTTTCAGTTGATTTGACTTGCCACGGTTCGTCTTCACTACAAGACAAACAGCATGGACTTGGAGGTGCCAACCTCACTATTGCCCTGTTGACAAGACATCCACATTTTCCAGAAAATCAGGTTAACTATATTTTTCATTCTTGCTCCATTTCTCCCATTGTGTAGACCCAACCTTAATGTACCTAAACCAAATGAGATGTGATTTCCCTCCCAAAAGGAGTCAGCACTTTAAATAACTATAAGAAATTGGGAAAAGTGTAATTTTCTTTCTAAACTCAGAAAGAAAAAAATAAGAGAGTGGAGGTGCATTTCAAATCACTTTTTTTTTTCTTTTTCCTTTTTTTTTTTTTGCGGAAGATTAGCCCTGGGCTAACTGCTGCCAGCCCTCCTCTTTTTGCTAAGGAAGACTGGCCCTGAGCTAACATCCATGCCCATCTTCCTTTGCTTTCTATGTGGGACGCCTACCACAGCATGGCTTGCCAAGCAGTGCCACACTTGCACCAGGGATCCGAACCGGTGAACCCCCAGACCGCTGAAGCAAAAAGTGCGCACTTAACCGCTGTGCCACTGGGTTGGCCCCAAATCACTCCTAAAATTGGGAGGTGAGCTAAATGACTCTATGGAGAGGGTACTTCGTCAACTGTATAATTTCTCCCACTGTCTACTATCCAAAAGAATGGATCAATTAAAAATTAAATTAACACAGATCATGAAGGCTATTTTATAAAAATGATTGTGAACTTTGGAAAGGGGGCTTGCTTAATGAGTA